GTTCCATTCCAACTTTTGTTATTTTTCAGAAGTACATTGGAGATGAGTCTCCTGGATTTCCTGCCTAGGCTGGCTTTGAACCGTGATCTTCAGATCTCAGCCTCCTGAGTAGCTAGGATTATAGGCGTGAGCCACTGGTGCCCATCTCAAACCTCAGTTTTTCAACAGATCTCTGACAGACACAATGTTGAAGAACAGAGGAATTGGAGGCTAGCCCCCTTATCCGTACAGTCTACTTGGGGGAAGCTGGATAAATCAATTAAACACAGCATGGAAGTGGAGGAGGAATCTGCATGAGCAAGGGAGAGAGCTTTTGGTGATGTAGGCCAGGGGTTGATAGCAGAGAAAGCCACTCCATATGGGGACTGTGGTTTCCTTGGCAGGGAGGCCCAAGGAAGGGGAGGAGAGGAGCATCTCCACACTGTCATGTTAAAGGGTGGGCTGTAGTCCCTTCTGGACCTGGACTGCTTTTCTGTATGTGTCCTTGGAGTCCATTACTTCATCTGAGGCTGCACTGTCTCCTCGTGTCACCTGCCTGTGTGCAGGTTCCTGTGTAGATTGTAAGCAGGAAGTAAATCAAGTACGTGTTTGACAGAGCTGCAGCCATACTGGAGATTTGTCTTCTCTCTTGTCTCCCATTGGCTGCCTTTTATGAGGTGTTGGGAGTGGAGGGAGGAGGGAGAGCTAAGACCTGGATATGGCCTTGACTCTCTAAGCACTGTCTAGAAATAAGCAAGCAGAAACTGTCAGAGCCAGAGCTTTTAATTTTACTTTATTTCATTTTTTGTGCCAGTCTTGGGGTCTGAATTCAGGGTCTGGGTGTAGTTTCTGAAGTTTTTTCTTTTTGCCAATCCTAGGGCTTGACCTTATGGCCTGGGTACTGGGCACTGGGCACTGTCTCTGAGCTCTTCTCTCTCTCTCTCTCTTTCTCTCTCTCTCCTATATTTAGTTGATCTGGTCCTTTTACACCATTTCTATGCTGTCACATTGTTTTTTCCAGAAACTTCTTTGTGGGATAAATTTAATTGACGCAGAATTTGGTTGATGTGGTCCTTTTACACCATTTCTATGCTGTCACATTGGTTTTCACCAGAAACTTCTTTGTGGGAGAAATTTAATTGACGCAGAAATGGTTGGAAGGACAATTTCAAGCTCTTATGTCTGTGTCCCCATGTCAGTACCCCACTGGGAGACTGTCCTCAGCATTTGTTTCCTCTTTTTAAAAACAAGTACAATATCACACAAATAACAGGAAATCAATTGCCAACATGGAAGGATTGTCTTGCAGAAAGCCAAGTTGAATCCTCCAGTATTTTCATCTTGCAAATCACAAAATATAAGTGAGATTAACATATAGGCACAGGTTTCTTTGTAAGATGCAGCTGTATTGCATTTTGTTGTAAAGTTATTATTTTTAAAGACAATAGCTTTTAGTCCTGTGGCTTGAGTAAATATCCCCAGGGAATGATGATTAGTAAATTTATGAGTCTGGTTTAGACTTCTATATTAAGCTACTTGTTGCTTTATGAATCACCAATTGTATATCAGCGAGATTACATTATCTGAGTACTGAAATAGAGTTATAAATTCCAAGAGGCTTCTGAAAACTGCATTTATCATTGTTCACAGGCTTCAAGGGGTTGAATGACCACCAGATTTACTTTTAAGAAATCATCTAGAAGTATTCACAGATAAAGTCTAAGAGGATTTTATTTAACTTCCCAATGTTGATTTATTACTCTTCTATAAAATTCTTACAAATTTGATATTGGATAGCTTATCCATATATTGTGTATACACATTTGATGTGTTATGTACTGTAATACTCATTTATGTGTAGATTCCGGGGCAGGTGCTCCACATAGCAATAAGAGACATTTTACATTCAGTTGCTTTAAGGGATAGCTGGATTTAAAGAAACATAGTGTGATGTATAGCAGTTAAGTGAGAGGATGAATAATTAAAATTTAAGCAAATTAGTCTCTTAATAGTATATGCTAGAATCTTGGCGCTCAAGAATCATGTGTTTAAGAAATGGAATTAAACTGTACAAATAGTTGCACAAGAGGCAACTATCTATAGACATCTATCTATATAGATTTATAGATAGATATACATCTATAGATAGATGGATAGATTGATATCTACTTTTTTTTTTTTTTTTTGGTTGGTCATAGGGCTTGAACTCAGGGCCTGGGCACTGTCCCTTTTGCTCAAGGTTATTTATCACTAAGCCACAGTACCACTTCCAGCTTTTTCTGAGTAGTTTATTGGAGATAAGAGTCAGACTTTTTTGCCTGTGCTGGCTTCCAACTGTGATACTCAGATCTCAGCCTTCTGAGTAGCTGGGATTACAAGCATGAACCACCAGTGCCTGGTTTTTCCAGATGTTTAGAGTCAGATCTGTGTTCAGATTTGAGCTTCATCACTGCACAACAATGCAAGTTTGGATAGTTCCTTACTTTTTGGAGCTTTAGCTTTCTTGATAGCAAAGCTAGTAAATGTGTGTGTCAGTCAGGCCCAGTTTGTCTCTTCTCCCTCTGTGCCTTTTTAATAAGATGATATGTCTAGGAATCCATGCTGTATTTTTTTTCTTGGAACAGTGGGATTTTGTTTTTGAATGGCCTTGCATGCATTCATTCACAAGTGCACTCATTCACTCATGCATTCATTCAAGTCTTGGAATATTTTTCCACTCTCACTAAGTAGCTGCATTTAGGTGGTGAAAGGCCATCTTGTGAAAGGAATCTTGCTGGTATTTAGATGGCCTTTGTTAGGTTTCACTTTGCACTCATTCATAATTTAGCACTGGGATAAAAATAAAAACAAAGGCTCTCATGTGACAGTGTGAGAACATGGGTCATGCATGCTGAGCATATAGGTAAGATGGTGTCAGAGTCTTGAAGGTGCTGGGATAAAGAAGCATCTTCTGGAAGCTTCTGACTCCTTTTAGTAGAACCACAGCTTCGATGTGCAAGGGACTTAATTGCACACATGGAGGGAAACAAGTTTTGGCTTTTCAGAGGTTGTTGTCTAAGCCTTAATTATCGAATCCACACGCCGAAGCTTTTCCTTTTAGCAGCCAGCCAGCCTTCAGACATTGCAGCTTTTCTAGCCTTGAGCAATCACTGCATTAGAACCAGCTCTGCCACTCTCGCCCATTAGGATGCTGTACAATCACGCAGTAACACTGGTTTCTGAAAATAGTCCTCAAGGCTAAAGTTGATTTCAGTGGATTTTGCAGTTATTTGAGCTGCAAGGATAGTTATAATTTTCTGTAGAACTGTATCCACATTAGTTGTGTGTGTGTGTGTAATGATACTGGAGTTTGAACTCAGGGCCTCATACTCCTTGTTTAGCTTTATCCCACTTGAGCCACACTTTTACTTCTAGCTTTTTTTTCTTTTCTGGTTGTTTGGAGTTTCTTGGATTTTGCTCCTGTACTGGCTTTGAACTGGGAACTTCAGATCTCATGTCTGGCCTAGCAGTACTTTTACAGTTAATAGATTTCTGATGTTGGTTTTGCTTCCTACTCATTTAGCTTTGGTTGCTGTGTGTGTGTGTGTGTGTGTGTGTGTGTGTGTGTATTAGACCCTCCCTTCACTTGCCAAATTCATATAAGGCTTTGTTAGTTAAAGTCAGATGTCCTTTTTTTTAAAATCTATTTTAATATTCTTTCCTTGGGGAAATCTGGACGAATTGCTTTTCAGTTCTGGGATTATTAATAAGTAAATATGAGTGATACATTGCTAGTGGATTAACTTGAAGCTCAAAGAAGCTTTGTAAGTGGAGAGGGAAATCCTACTTTTACAAAGTTCAGACTTGTTGCAATTGAAATGCATAGGGTTTTTGACATTGGGACATATTAAGGAAGTAAAGCCATAATTCTAAGTAAGGAGGATGTGAAGGATTAAATTAGATTGAAACAATAGATGAAACCGACCAAGGTCCTCAGCCCAGAAGTAAAAGATTCAGTTACACTTAGAATAAAACCAGTCTCCCTTCTTGTCTGCCCACAGCTATGCCCCTCCTCCCCCTGCCTGCCTCCCCCTGTCCTTACCACACTGTTCTCCTCTGTGTTCTCTCCCAGGCTCTTTCCTACTCACGGACCTTTCTCTGGTCTTACCTTGCTCAACCTTCAAAGCCCTCTGCTTGTCCATGGCTGGTCCCATGCTTCTTTACCCGACTCCCTCTTACCCAGTGCCACTCTAAGTACCAACTAGGGACTGTCTCGCTGGACTAGCCTCCTTTCTTCTCTTTCCAGAGCCCCAATGATTTCTTCTTCAGAGCTTAGAATACACACTTGTTTTTGTTCATTCTTGCCTTGCGCCACAATAATGTGAGTTCTGTTAAAGGAGGTACCAGTCCCAGACACAGTGCCTAGCGTATGTTGTAAGACAGATTGCCTAAGGGGGAAGTTGTTTACTGGTTTTAATAGCTCCTTCTTGTTTGTTCCTCATTAGATGTGGGAGCCTTTTTTTTTTTCTCTACCAAGGGTCATTAGATATTTATAACATCCTTTGCAGGCCATAACAAATGATCAATACAGCGTTGGGCAGCCTATGAGAAGCTGTCTGTCCATTGTGTGCCATGTGATTTTGTGGGTCATCTACAATCTGTAGGCTAGATACTCCCCACCCTGGATGATAGCTTAGTTCTTTGGACCGAGGGATTTGAGGATCCCTGGTCCTATGAACCAAGCCAATGTGCTTTCCAGCACAGAGTAGAATGACTGAGCTATGCCTGTCTCTGCTGTGTGTTGGTCTGGAGGGCTGTGGGATCCATTCTTGATGTCTGCTTCAAGGATCTGTCTTTACCCATCTTCTCACCTAGGGCTGTTGCTCAGCTATAGATCAAAAAGGCACAAATAAAATAAAATAAAAACCTGGCAACTTGGAGGTGTCTGAAGATTAACAGCACCGTGGTTGTTCCTGAGTAATTAAATTTAGTTTTGTGTCATTCTTGGGTGTGTTCTAAATGTCACCGTTTATCTGTCTTAGGTGATCTATTTAAAGAAGACACCGGAAGAAGCCTACCGAGCGCTGCTGTCGGGCTCTAACCCTCCCTACCTTCCGTTCAGGTACTGCTCCTCAGGGGTTTGGCTTAGGCTTCCACCCAGAGTTCACTGTGTGAGAGTCGGGTTCTGGAGTTTTCTAGCTGTTTTAAGACTGACCATGTGTTATGCTATGTGGGATGAGAGGAGGTGGTATAACCCACTGCCCTAGGTCAGGAAGGCCAGATGCTAGTTTTCAATCATTTTGCAGATTTCCTTGGCTAGCTAGTATGAATAAAAAAAACTTTGTCCTTTTAGGAGAAGCTGGGGACCTAGAATAAGGCCACTTAGGTACCTTCTAGGACCATGGGTTTAGTGGGGACCTTATATCCCCTGTTCAGGGGGCACATCTGGCTGCCATGTGTTTGCATCATCTACAGAAGCTCTTCAAAAGTCTGGAGTCAATTTGAGCTTAGTTAAAAAGTAGAAGGGAACATGTATCGAAGTAATCACAGCATTAGCCTAGCAGCCCCAGGTTTCATCTCCAGCATGCAAAGCCACACCAAACCAAACCAAACAACACAACTTCCCCAGATAACCCTCCCCCTGCCCCTTCCAAGCCCTGAAATAGCACCCAGTCATCTGATAAAACTGTGAATGATTGTAGTATTTTTGCCCTTTTGCTGCTTTGTGTGTCCAAACCTATGGGCATGTGTATGGCTTATTGTTATTGTTACTATGGTCACGAGCAAAAGGAAGCGAGAGAGGAGGAGAAGGAGGAGGAGGCCTCTTTGCTTGTCTGTCTCCCATTCTTCTGTGTGCTCAGAGAGCACAATCATGTAAAGTGTTTCCAGCAAATGTTCACATGAATAAAGTAAAACACAGGAGAGGAATACAGGAGGGAGAGAGTTGGATGTGAGGTGGGGAAGGAGGCCAGGGAATTGACCATACCTAGTGTGTTTGATCTTCCCAGGGAGATCTAGGTTAAGATGGTGATCCCTAAGCAATCTCCAGGTAATAAGCCAATGAGACATGAAGGGGACAATAAAAAGTGGAAGAATCCATAAAGGAGAATTTTATGGAAGTTTAAAGTTTAAAAAAAAATTCCCTTCCAGTTCTTTAAATGGCTTCAATAATTTCAAAGCCCTTTGTGAAATATACTTCCATTATGGCAGAAAAGGTGATAGTGACAATATCAGTAGCCTTATCTCAGTTTTTTTTTTGGGTGGGGGTGGGGAGGTGTAGTTCTAAAACTTGAACTCAGGTCCTGGTTGTCATCCCTGAGCTCTGCCCCTTGAGTCATAGCTCTACTTTAGGCTTTTTGGTGGTTAATTGGAGATAAGAGTCTTACAGACTTTCCTGCCCAGGCTGGCTCTGAACTGCAATCCTTAGATCTCAGCCTCCTGAGTAGCTAGGATTACAGACATGAGCCACTGGATGCCTGGCTCCTATCTCAGTTCTATGGGAAGTAGTTACATCTACATCTAGCGAAGAAGAGACAGGAGTTCTGAAGCCTTTGCTCTATTCTGTCAGTAGTACACTTATGAAACCTGGACCCGTTACCTATTCTTTCTGAGCCTCAGTTTCTACATCTCTAAAAAGTTTCAAGATTTTCCTAGGATAAACTAATGTAATGCATACATCCCAGTGCCTGGTATATGATTAAGATTGTGTTTTTCTCCATACGAAATGTTATTGTTATTGTTAATGTGAAGTCAACATTTTCCATAGTGATTTTGAAAAATAGGCACGAAATTATGTAATTATTTATGGTGGCACAAAATGAGCTACAAAATGGTTAGGTTGAACAAAAATAGAAGAAAAGATATATTCTAATTGCGTTAGTCAGATAAACTTTGATCTTTTTTTCTTTCATTTCTTTACTTCCTTTTATTTTATTACTTATTTTTTTGGTACTGGTACTGAGATGTGAACTCAGGGTTTTGTTCTCTTGCTTGACCTTCTTCCTTCTGGCCTGGTGCTCTACCACTTGAGCCACAGCTTCACTTAAAGCTTTTTGCTGGTTAATTGGAGATGGAGTTTTATGGTCTTTTCTGCTCTCTCTTTGGACGCTGATCCTCCAAGTATCAGTCTCCTGATTGGCTAGGATTATAGGTGTTGTTTGTCATTGGTACCTGGCTAGATTATACTTTTATATTCAGTGTCTGTATTTTTATTTTTGTTGTTGTTCTGGCTATATTTGCAACCTCTAGTTGTAAATTATTAATTAATTATTTATTGTTTAATTTTTAAAGAACAAGGGTTTTGGAGCCATGGTTTGTGTGTGCTCTTCACTAAGATGCCCGCATTCCCATATATACTGCCTATTGTATCTTTCTAATTAGGGGATTTAATGGAGACTTCTAAGTATAAATAATGTCATTCCTCAAGATTTATTTATTTAGCAAACATTTATGTGAGCACTTTTTTCATTTTTTTCAGGGGTAGCCTGTCAGATCCTTTGCCTCTAATCCCTTATTGCATTGTATGTATTACAATGTTACATATACAATTAAGCAAATGTCTTGTATTATAATTATTTGTTTGCATGGTCTTCTCTTGAGGGCTGAGATTGGGTTATTTGCCTATTCAAGTCCCAAGGGAATAAGTACATGCATTTGCTGCTTTTTCTTTTCTTTTTTTCTAACCACTGCCATAGTCCAATGGATCTAAAGGTAATAGGAAACTTGATATCAAGATACCCAGTATGTATAAAGATACAGATATATAAAGCAATTGCAATTATTTATTAGAGTTAGGTGGTAAGTGTTATGGGATACTAAAGAAGCAGTTTATCTTTGAGCTGGATTTGGAGGTGATATCAAGAGTAGTCCTACCCGGGTAGCATGCCTATAATCCTAGCTACTCAGGAGGCTGGGATTTGAGGGTTGTGGTTTGAAGCCAGCCCTGGCAGAAAAGTCCATGGAACTCTTAACTCCAGTTAACCACCAAAAAAGCTGGAAGTGGAGCTGTGGCTCAAGTGGTAGAGCACTACCCTTGAGCAAAAGATCTCAGGGTCAGTGCCTAGGCCCAATCTAGTTCAAGCCGCTGACACCCTTTTCCCTCCCCCCTCCTCCGCCCGCCAAAGAATAGGCCTCATAGACTGCCTTTCAGGTTTGGGAGGGAGTGCTTTTCATTTATATGGTTTTAGAAAATAACAGTATGTGAGGTAGGATGGTAAGTAGTAAAATATTTGCAGCATAGGTACCCTATTATAACCAAAGAAGTTGATTTGATTTTTTTTTAATGGGTTCCTTTTCTTTTTGGAGTTATATTTAAACTATGTGTGCGTGTGTTGGGCCTTAACTCAGGGCCTAGTATTTGTTCCTTTTGTGCTCAAAGGTAGCGCTCTACCACTGGAACTCTACTTCCTGCTTTTCCTGTATCACTGGACATAAGAGTCATGGACCTTCCTGGCTTAGATGGATTCAAACCTTGACGGTCAGATCTCAGCCTCCTGAGTAGCTAGGATTACAGGTGTGAGCCACTGGCACCTGGCTTATATTTAAGAATTTAGAGCTCTAGTTTTCTATTAACATAGAAAAATTCACTAAAAATGAGACAAATTGAATAAAATTTAATAAAAAGCTATACAAATCCTGTAGCTTTGCTATCAATTCTTTGGATACTGGGGTTTGAACTTGCGGGGCTTTCTTGGCTGGCTGTTGTTTCTTTTGAGTCACATTTCTAGCATGGGTCTTATTGGAGATGGAGTCTCTTGGACTTTTCTGCACCAATTGGTTTTTAGAACCCTTATCCTCTGATTTCAGTCTCCTGAGTAGTTAGGATTATAGGTTTGAGCCACAGGCATCCAGTTGCTGTCTATTTTGACTAAATTAAGAACAATCAACTCTAGTGACAATTGAATTTCTAGTTTGGTATGATACTCAAGGAGTGTTGCGATATTATTTCTTGTACGTCTTGGGGTGTTCCATTGAGTAAGGTATTTGTATCAGAAACTGTTCTTTTACTTGTACTAATAGCCAGTGTATTTATGCAGAGTGACTTTAGCTGAAAACTAGAAGAAAATGGGGACTTTTCATCCCTGTTCATTCTTTGAGACCATCCGTCCTCAGTGCTGGCTTGGCAGCTGGCTTCGAAGGCACAAAGGCCTTTCAGTTCTGGGGGCTCTCAGTGGAGCTTGTTGGCAAGCCTGGCATGGATCTTTTGTGGTCCCTCCCTTTAGTATTCTACCAAATTTAGTGTATTTAATTACTGCCTGTTTAGAGTCCCACAGGACCACTGGCCCTCGCTAGAAATCTCTGATTGTTTTCATGGCTGTCAACAGTTTTCAAACCTACATTCTTGAGTGCTCCTAAAACAGTGTTTGTAGAAGTTCAGAGTTTCACAAGATGTTGTAAGTTCCCTTTTCCATTGTGCAACTCTTCTTTGAGATCGTTTTGATGCTTCCTAATTCATTGGATGCCTCCTTCCTTTATTGGTCTTTATGCTTTAGCTCAGTAAGTATTGTGGTGTTGGTGATGATCCTTAAATCTGCCCAAACTTAATTTTTTTAAGCATGCAAAATTAAAGGGCAATAAAACTATGCAGACAACAAATAGCCTCTCAGGGACCGGATGTTGAAGACATAGGCATAACATATAGCATGGAATGACATAGAAAGTGTCGGGTTGGGCTGGCATTCCATCCAATAGAATGAAACTGATAGAAGTCAAATGACCTATCTCTAGTTGGTAGGGGTGTTTTTGCTTGCTTGTTTTTTAGTCTCTTCTAGGAGAGGTGCATGGATATAATCCTGTATAGTCATTACTACTATTACTAATACTATTTTAACCTTGGAGAAGAGGGTCTAGCTTTTCCAAGGGAATGTTGCACCCTTGGGAAACCATAAAAATTACTGATGCCTGGTTGGATTCTATGGCTAGAAATTCTGATGTGATTAACTGATTTAAGGTGAAGGCTGGGCGTTGGAGTTTCATTTTTTGGCAGTACTAGGGTGTGAACCTGGGCCTCAGTCTTGCTAGGCAAGCACTTTACCACTTGAGCCAGACCTCCACTTCTTGTGTTTTGGATTTTAAAGAATACCTATTCTAATGTATGAATATATGGCCAAGGTAGAGAACTGA